GTGTGAGCCACCACGCCCGGCGTAAAATATTTATTTTCTATTCTGTGTCTCATCATTCCATATTATGCAGTGTTTGTGGGTCTCATCTTGTTATTTGTTGTTTCTGCTGACTCATGCTCCTTGTGGCTTGTTTCCTCATGAGTTATTGATTTTTTATTATGAGCTCATATTCCTTGGAATTCTTTGTGGGACTGCTTTGAATCTGTGTTTAATATATTATATATTCTTCCAGAAAGGATTTTTGTTTACTTCTACCAGGAACCTAGTGATACTTCTAAATCAGAACCACTTAAAATTTTTTTTCGGCTTACAGTTTTTCTAATCACACAGGGCTTCCTTCTATGTGAATGTTGGCTATGTTAGGCATTTTACTGGATTTTTTTTTTTTTTGAAACAGAGTTTCACTCTGTCACCCTGGGTAGAGAGTGCAGTGGCATCATCGTAGCTCACTGCAACCTCAAGCTCCTAGGCTCAAGCGATCCTCCTGCCTTCCCTCCTAGAGTGCTAGGATTACAGGCATGAGCCACTGCGCCCAGCCTTACTGGACTTCTGTTTACCCTGTGTTCCTACTCTAGCCACAGCTAGATGGATATAGGAAAGCCTTCTGTGTCTGAGTTGTTTTTTTCTTCCCCCTGTTTCTCTCGTAGGGAATTGACTTTGAAGAAGTCCCAAATTGAGGGGAGGGGAGGGGTCTATGATAACCTATCTCCCAGGACCAGACCTCAGGCCTTTTCTCCTCTTCCCTGTTTCATTTAGGTTCCCCTAAAAGCGGAGCCTCTGGAAAAGCTTGTTAATTGGGGAGGCGGTTCCAAGGAGCAGGAGTGAAGGATGGAGAGAATGGAACAAAGAAAGAGGAAAAGCCAGTACAAGGTGGCCTTATCAAGGGAACCTCTGGCAGGTGCTTGATTCTCCTAAGATATTCTGAGGCGCCTTGTGAAATGGAAGGTGAAAAGAAGAAGCATTTACTATTTGCTTGTGTCACCCACTGGGCAAGAGTGTCCCCACAGACACTAACTCCTCTGAACTTAGGGTTTGCACATGGGGGGTTCCAAGGAATTCCCAAGAGTATCCCATGCTTTGGGGTCAGACGGACTCGGACAGGAAGAAGTAGCTCCATGTGCCCAAGACAAGGTGGCACCTGCATGAGGCTGATCAAAGCCACATGAAACTCATCCCCTCTGCAATGGCTGGAACCAGAGTGGGGGCCAAGAGGACTGACGTGGTGCCCAGGAGGCGCCAGATGCTCCGGCCATTTCCGGCCCAGGCCCTCAGAAAGCAGTGCGGGCTTCCCCGATGAGACCACGCTCTCTGGTCACTCTGAGTCTGACCAAGTCCCTTATTTGACACCAGTCCATCTGTGCTTTCTCATACACAGTTCGCTATTTCATTCAGCGTTTCTAGGAAGTGACTTCTCTACTCAACTAGTCTACATAATTCCAGATACAGGAATAAGTGGCTATTCTTTTCAAAATGCCTATACATATACTTTAATATTCGTTTCATTATTATTTGCTGAGTATTGGATTCAAGCATCTCTTTCTGCAATTCCCGTTACTCACCTTGTGTCTTATTTTTGAAAACCAGGCCGGTCAATAGCAGTCACATCAGCAGCAGCTACCAGGTTTTGAACACCTGTTAAGTGCCAGGCATTTGCTGTGGCTTTATAGGCATTACATCAGTAAATTCTCAACACCATCCTAGGGTAGTCACTCTGGTTCCCTTTCGACAGAAGAGGAAAAGGAAACTGCGTCCCGGGAGGTTGCCTGAGGCACACAGCATTGAAGTTGTTGAGCCAGAGTTCAGCCAGGAGCTTCCCCACCTTCACCGTACAGCGGCCTTTCTACGGGAAAGGCTTCTCTTCTCCCCTAGTCCTTCC